TAAATGAATTTATTTCAACCATAGTTAAGTAGTTGAGTGCATGTATGTGTGTTTGTCCGTGTGTGTGTGTGTGTGTGTTGCTTGATATATTGATATAGTATGATAAACATAGAAAACATACATTAAAAAAATTAAATTGAAAAAATTCGTACATGAAATATCGAGATAATCAAAATTAAAACATTCAAATAATGTTGCTAATTACAATGAATAAAATAAACAATGTTAAAATGATATTAACTACCAAAGAACACGTGTGTTTGTTGTTGTTGCATGTTGAGACTTGTTTGCTGGTCTTTGATCTCTCTTTGCTTGCTGAAGCATGATTGAGATGGCGATTGGACTTTTTGCGGCTAGTTGTTGCCACAGCCTCAGAATAATAACTGCACGGTGGCACGCATAAGTAATAAACAAATTTTAGAAACCAATTACCATTTTTTTCACGCGTGTATTGACTTCATGTCTGTTCGTTTCTGAGTCTTGTAATAGATGTTCGAGGACTTCCCATGGAATTTAAATTCAGTATACCAATTAATGAGTATAAAAAGCTTTTAAAAGTTTTACTTATTTATATAAAAATCAACAAAAATCACAACCATTACAGTTATGGTCATTATCATCATAACAGCAATTGCTATCATTATCATCATCATCGTCGCAATCAATGCTTTCATCATCGCCATCACCTTAACGATCACAAAACTAACTTACTAAGTCGTTAACAAGGCGATCAATTAATTTTATTTTTTATTCGATTTTTAAATCATTAATTATATTATTTCCCATGCTTTTTAAGTTTAAATCATTCTTACATTTTATGTATGTATGTATGTATTTATGTATGTATGTATGTATGTATGTATGTATGTATGTTAAAACCAAATCAGCGATGAGTGACACTAAACAGTCAAACATCTGAAAAAATCGGTTAACAATTGATATCTTGTTATTCGCTCACGTCGGCGTTTAATTGAACATTTTCGGTAACACAGACGCGCAAAAACCTTTGCAGCAAACAAGATATATGATTCATGGCAAAAAATAGCTCTCTGCTGTCGCCGGACCGGCCACTTATCATTTTGCAAATCTTTTTAAAAAATATTGAAATGTTGTTGTCCATCGGGCCAAGAACCTCGATGCAAACAGGTAAAAAATCCATCGAGGGCAGGGCACCTTCATATTTTTTAAACTTTTCATCCGATGCCCTGGTTGCGGCCAAACCACTTTCCTTGGTGGTTAAGTGCACGTACCGTTCCGCTAATGTGCCCGAAACGGTTACGTCCCACGCCAGGCATCTACCGGCTCTCCAAGAAATCAACGTGCAGCCATCCGGACGTTTTCCATCCAACGCGGA